GTTTTGAGCAATCTGTACATGGAATGTTTCGAAACAAATATCCTTCCCAGGATTTTACCCTCAAATTTGCTTTGGTACAGGTACGTTGACGATATTTTGTGCCTGTGGCCGGTTAATCATGACGAAACTGATTTTCTCAATCAAATCAATTCGCTGGTTCCGTCAATTAAATTCACAATTGAGAACGAAGTGAATGGTGTTCTGCCTTTTTTAGACATCATGATTCATAGAATTGGTAGAAGTTTCAAATTCAATGTGTATAGGAAACCTACCAATGTGTGCTCGTATGTACATTTCTATTCAAATCATCATGTTCAGGTCAAGCGGGCAGTTTTTTCTGGTATGTTTCTCAGAGCACTGAGAGTTTGTAGTCCGGAATTTTTCGATGAAGAAATAGCAAATATATTTGAAATTGGGAAGAAGTTAAAATACCCAAAATCGATCTTGGATCTTGCGTTTGGTCAAGCAAAAAGGACTTTCTACAAACAGACTACTAAGTCGAAACCAGAACTGAAAAATTCGTTGGTATTACCATATTCTGAGGGTCTAGTAAATCTTGCCCCAGCCCTGAAGAACCTTAATATTAATCTAGTGTTCAAAAATGATAATACAGTTAAGTCCATGTTAATTAAGAACTCGCCCTCGTCTGTAGCAGGTTGTGTGTATTCCATCCCTTGTAATGAGTGTGCATGTGTTTACATCGGCCAGACAGGTAAATCTCTTTCCTCGCGTTTAAAACAGCATTCATACGCTATTCGTACAGCCCAGCAATCCAGTGCATTGTATTTACATTCCAGTTTATGTAATCATTCTATCGACTTCACAGGGGCAAAATGTATTGTTAAAAGTAAGGATTTTGTTGAACGAAACGTGATCGAGTCTGCTCTGATCAAACATTGTAACAACAGCCTTAATGTGAGCCCTGGTATGTACAAGTTGGATCCCTATTTAAGCATCAATATAGCACGTCAAAACAATATAGCAATCATTTAAACACGTATGGCACTTGGAGATATTAAAAGGAGCTGCCTTGTATGGGCCAATAGGCCTTCTGCAGTTACATTCTTTCTTATAATTCCTTTCCTCCACTTATTTTTGGTGGACAGGTGATCTGCCCAGGCGGATATAAAGGTCTGATCAGCAATCTTATCTTCATTCTACTTTGCTCTGATGAAGGCGAATTAGCCGAAAACGCGTTATGCATTTTCTATTTTTCATATGTGGTTATTCTGCATATATATATATATATATATGATTTAGTGTCTAGCGCTATAATTTACAACACGCCGCCTGGGATAGGGGCAGCTATAGTGCAGCCACGACCGATAGTTGCCAGATGCCACCTAGAAAGAAAAATCCAGGCAAACATTCCTGGGTGTGAGAGCTTCAGTACTCAGCAAGCCACCAAGGCTGACGCACGCAGCATGAGCTCACAGCACTGCTGTTGAGCTTGTAACCACAGCATCGCCTAAAAATGTCAAAATATATATGTACATGCTATTATTTAGCGATGATAGTATTACAGAAGACCCCTGACTGTGATAAAACTGACCAGGATTGTGGTGATATTTAGCGCTGTGTTCCATGGTGGGATAAGTAATGCTGAGGGAGGAAGGATGGTGGCGTCGTCTTCTGTGTGTGTGGCCACCTTTTATTGACTGGACTTACCATACCAGCTTAGTGGTTCGCTATGGTGAACACAAATGTACATACTTATATATAACGTGTGTATAGAGTGTAATAACATCAATAGGAGTATGTTGGGAGCTGCCATTTTAGTGAGGGAGGTGTGTCGTCAGCATGACTTATGTCGTTTACTGGTGGCCACTATGGTCTTTGGGCACCATACCAGCTTATTTGTACAGGTATGGTGAATAAAACAGGTAGATACTTATATATAATGTGTGTATATATAGTGTAATAACACCACAAACAGTATTGTTGGAGAAATATTAGTGCGTCTGGCCTTGAGGGCAGCCGCCACCAGCTGACTGTGTGAGTAGCTACGTCTTTGTGCCTTTACTCACCATACAAGTTAGATGTACAGTTATGGTGAACAAAACATGTAAATACTTATAAATAACATCTGTGTATTGTGAATAAGTGCAAAAACAGTATTGTGGGAGGAGAATGAGGGCGAGTGAGGTGTTGTTGAGGGAGGGAGTGGCAGTGAGTGGCTGGTTGGTGTGTGGTGGTCACTCCTCGTTGCATTTTGACTCACAATAGCAACTTAGTGGTTCGTTATGGTGAGCAAAACATCCAGATACTTATATATAACCTGTGTATATAGTGTAATAACAGCAAAACTATTTGTTTATTGTTTTATGAACATAATAATTGAATTACTAATATGCACACCATAATTTTGAGTACAGCAATGGTTCACACATTATATAAATATATCACAATTCACACTATTGAATAATATTACTGCAAAAAAAAAAAAACAAAGAAAAAATCAATCAGACACATTGAAATAATTAGATAATAATATATTTTTGGCAACTGCCGCCTGACAGCTCGAGCGGAGTAGACCTCGTCAGGCGATCGGCTCTGTCAACGTCCCTTTTTTGCCAGACTTCCCTACCCTATTGCAGATAAAATATGCCACCTACCATTTTTTTGTTATTTTTTTCCGTGATCAGGGAACAAAAATGAACACTTTTATAAGATGAAAGAATTTTTTTTTTTTTTTTTTTGTTGCACCTGTAGCCATAAAAGCCATTTGGACCCTTCGCGGTTTGAGGGTTAAGGCACCAAACTCCCCTCCCCCCGGTAAACCTGCAGAACGGTAGACGTTTCTCGCCACTCAAATGCCATGCTATGCCCCCAACGAAAAGAAAGAGCAGTCAACCAGTCAGGAAGACTCAGGAACCCCCAAATGCACCCAATACGGGGAAGATGAACGAAACTCAAAACAGGACGGATCCATAATAGAGGAGGAATCCGGATCTTGTAGGAGGTATGCAGCAAGAGTCTCCCGAGCATCCCGCGCAAAGAACGTGAGGCAGAAAACATACAAAGGTACCCAAAGAGGCCCAGAAACGAACCCAGGGAGGAGCCGAACCCAAATCATACTCATACAGGGAAGGTGGGGTAAGAAAACCCCTCCACCTGCAACAACAAGCCCCACAAAGAGGGCACTACCACTCAAGTGGGGTCAAAGAGGGCTCAAGGGCCCCAGGTCGACTCCTCCCCAGCCCCGGAGATCCTTCAATTCAGGACCCGGGGCAGAGCAGTCCTACAAACCCTCTATCCCTGAAGAAAAGGCAGAGTCCAGGGGAAAAGCTGACAACAAGGGGGTGGGACCCAGAAGCTCTGGCAGGAGGAACCAGCTCGAATTCTTCTGTTCCCCAACCCGAATGGGGCGGCCCCCCAAGCTGTCAGAGTCTCATTACCAACTAAACCCTGCTCCAACTCCGAAACCCTCAGACGTTTGAGAGCTGGAAGCAGGGAGGAAGGTGCAGGATGAACAACAGTGAAAGGACCAGGGAGCACAGACTGAACCAAAGTCGAAGCGACTAATGTTCCCAGGTCCGGGGTCCCTATAATGAAAATGGGGCAGCCATGGGGTATCCGGGTGGGAAACCAACCTAGCGTGTTGCAGCAACCTAAACCAAGCATACAATGTTGCTGCTGCCTGTAACCTAACAGTAAAGTCATCAGAATAATACTGGAGAACAAGCAGAGAACATGATTCGCAACACTTCGAGTTAAAGGTGTCTTTGACCCAACAGGCAGCATGACTGAGGCAAAAAGAGGTGACTGTCACCCTGAGACAAGACCACACAGCTACCTTTGAACCCGCACAAGACGGGGTGGAACTTGAAAAACGCATCCAGTGGTCCACCGAGCCCCGACAGGGTTTTCCAGGGCCCGTAGGCCGACTGCTATGAGAAGCCTGGGCAAGATGTTGCTAACCGGTTAATACCCAAAGCTAACAAGGGAGAGAGCAAAACACTGAAACCCCTGCAACGTGTACAATCATGGGGGCCTAGCAGAGGGCCACCAAAATATTATAAGTGGAACAATAGCCACCCCAGGCAGACCCCCACCAGGCAAGAAAAACAAAAACAAAAGAAAAACCCCGCAAAAATACAATGTCCCCAGAGGAAACAGGAACCGGCTGCCACATAAGTAGGCAGGCAGCACAAATCCTTGATGCCCTAACCAGCATGATACCACTCCCTACCCAGGGCCAAACAAGGGCCATAAAACCTCAGCTGGCCCCAAGGGAAGGGTAAATGTTGAGCAGCAAGAACCCTCATCGGAAATGATTTCCCGAACACACCAGGGAAGAGAACACTAACATGCAAGGGCAGTACTCACAGGGCACCTAGGAATGGAAGCCCATAAGCTCATGCAGCCCCGGCACTGGTGAGAACACCTGACCACCACACACAACAACACTACAGAGGTTGCATGAAAGTTTCCAAACACTGCTTTGGAAACCGAGGCCAGAGAACACGTCCACCTTGGACCACATTAGCTAACAAACTGGATGGCTGAGTAGCTGGCGCAGGGAGGGGAGGACTGCGGTCGAGCTGCGTGGCAGTGGAGTGTGACTTTTGCTTGTTTTCCTGGATTGGAGGGAGGTCTACCTCTCTGTTCAGTTTTTAGTTGTAAATTTCTTACCATGTGGGGTTTGTTATGTTATGCCTATCTTTCTGGGTGCCTAACCCCGGTTGATGGCAGATAAGGAAAAACCCCAACCACAGGGGGGTTTTCCAGGGCCATTGCTCCCTGCAACCTCTCTGAAGGGGCCAGGTTCTGGCTCGTGGTCTCAGGTAGGTTGAACTCCATGGACTAACGCCCCGGTCTAATATCTCACACATTAGCCCAACAACTCCAAGGAGCAGTAGGGTCTTTCCCCTCAGAAAATATAATTCTTTCCTATGTAATGCAGTCTAAGTTTATGGCTATCATATCTATTTTAGAAAATATCATTGTTCAAAAAATTTATTTTCAACAGAAAAGATAATGGATGAATCAAAAGGTACCTGGTATGTTTGTCGCACAGCATCAACCTCTGAAGCTGTATCAGATGCAGTTCTGTCTACAACAGCATCTGTTTCTATAGCCAAATCCATTGTTGCAGAAGCTATGCAGTCAGCCATCCCACGTAGGTTGTCTAGTGACCTGCTCGACAATATTCAGTTTAATTAATGCAAGATAAATTATACATTCAATAATTATTAAAAATTACTCACTCTAGTAGTTTTCCTAATTGAATATTTGTTACTCTTAATCAACTATCACAAATGACAAGATTTTTTAACATTCCATTTATAACCAAATAATTCCTGCTGTTATGGATAGGAAGCCTGTACTTGGGCCTATATCTTTACCTGTAGAAGGACCTATATCTAGGTTCTTCTAGGCCAACTGCTAACCTTCGTCAAGAAGCAAACCACAAGACTTGTCTAACTCCTGGGTACCTATTTTACTGCTAGCTGAACAGACGCATCACATGAAAGGAAACAGGCGCAACCATTTCTGTCCTGCCCAGGTATTGAGTGCAAGTCGCTCAATTGTGAGCCAAGGACATTTATTTATACATAAGAACATTTATATAATACTTTATTTTGTAATAAGAGTTAGGTGATTAGTTTAAGTGGTGCAGTCTTGCAACACTTAATGCTCAACAGAACTAATTTCATAGGCTGTCTCCCTCTCACACATGCACACATTAAGAAGACACAGCCAAGAAAACTGAAAACATTTATAACAGAAATTGATGAAAAAAATTAAATAATGAATGAAGAATGGAAAATGTTAATACTGAATGTATATACATGTGTGTTCTTACTTGTTCCAACCATCTACCACTATTTGCAAAAGTGAACTTTATGTTTTTTTCAGCAACTTTGTCAACCTTAGTTTGAACCTCTGTCATCATCTTGAAGTTGCAGTTTTCAAAAATTATTCCTTGTCAGTTTTGTCAATTCCCATTACTATTTTGTACATAGTGATTGTATTGCCTTTTTCTTCTATCTTCTAGCTTTGGTATATTTAATGCTTCTATCTTCTAGCTTTGGTATATTTAATGCTTCTATCTTCTAGCTTTGGTATATTTAATGCTTCTATCTCCTAGCTTTGGTATATTTAATGCTTCTATCTTCTAGCTTTGGTATATTTAATGCTTCTATCTTCTAGCTTTGGTATATTTAATGCTTCTATCTTCTAGCTTTGGTATATTAAATGCTTCTATCTTCTAGCTTTCGTATATTTAATGCTTCTATCTCCTAGCTTTGGTATATTTAATGCTTCTATCTTCTAGCTTTGGTATATTTAATGCTTCTATCTTCTAGCTTTGGTATATTTAATGCTTCTATCTTCTAGCTTTGGTATATTTAACGCCTCTAACCTCTCCTTGTAGCTTGTTTTTCAGTTCTGGAAGCCATTTGGTTGTACGTGTTTGCACCTTTTCTAGTTTAATGATATGCTTCTTAACACTTTCGCGCTGTGGGCGAGCGAGCGCTCCACTATCCCGAGTGATTTTGAACGTTTTACGGGAGTGCGCAGTAATACTGAAAAGTGTATACTCTTTTCAACTTTGTCACCTTAATTCTCGTCCTAGTTTTTTCAATTTTATATCAATGTGTTTGCAATAGAATGCTCTACAGGACTAAAAGCATATAAACTTCAAAAGCCTGGCTTACCACCCGCTGCAAACAGAAAAAGTGAGAGCGAGTTACCCAGGAGCGCGCAAGAGCGATAAAATGTGTACACTCTTTTCACTTTGGTCACCTCAATTTTCGTCCTAGGTCTTTCATTTTGGTATCAATGGGTTTGCAATAGAATTCTCTAGAGGAGTAGAGTATATGCATATAAAATAAAAAACCGAGTCATGCTCCACCCATGGACAAGATGAATGCAGGCCACGCCGTTACCCATGAGGGAGCGCCCAGTCGCCCACCCGCTACGCTCCCAATTCCCGCCAACAAATGTTTAGTATTTTTTCCCGGTTGCTAACATCAAATTCCGTGTTACAGCGCTCATTTTGATATGAAATTGTTCCTAATAGAATGCTTTAGATGGATATATGCATATAAGGGCAAATTGAAGAACAATATTGTCAATACAATATGATAAAGTATAAACAACAATATAAAATATATAAAAAGCTAAAACTTTTTGTACTTACCAATCCAGTGTTGTTTGTGGAGCATGACATGGGTTGAACATTAGTTTTATCCACTCCATCTGCTCCAGGAAAATGTTTCCTGAAGGGTCAACCCATGTTTTTTATAGGTGGAGTGGATGGTGGGCAAGCATTAATGCTTATCAGCCCAGAATTGTTTCTTGCGATGGTATTTGCTGTAGCATTGGTCAGGACACAGTGGCACATCATTGTGTGTCCAGGACACACAATGGCAAGGTATAAGTGCAAGACACAGTCTTGCACTTATACCTTGTGTCCCTCCTGATACCAGACAGTTTACAAACACGACACCTCAGACGCTTCTGTATCTTTACTTGGGTATGGGACAAGTGTCTATTCAAACGTTCTGGATTATCCACAATACTGGGTTTTTTCCTACCAGAAGCACCACTAGGGACAATCAGACTCTCGTCTTCTGACTCTGATGATGAAGGTACAGCTACAGGCAAAGTGAATAGTGGCCGCCTCACACCTGATGGTCCTGGTGTTGCTGGTCTGGGTACTGCAACATTGGCTTCTATCCACTATCTGGATTATCCACAATACTGGGTTTTTTCCTACCAGAAGCACCACTAGGGACAATCAGACTCTCGTCTTCTGACTCTGATGATGAAGGTACAGCTACAGGCAAAGTGAATAGTGGCCGCCTCACACCTGATGGTCCTGGTGTTGCTGGTCTGGGTGTTGATGGTCTGGGTACTGCAACATTGGCTCCATCATCATTGGCATTTACATCAGCAGAATGTGGGATGTCATCATTTTCCTGAGGCCCATTTACTAGGATGAAATAACAGTAGTGACATGATGGCTACTTCGTGAAAATGAAGTAACATTAGTTTCTTTCTATCTGTTGTGTAGTATTTGTACAACACATATGCATTGTGGATAGCCATTTGCAAAAATAGAACATCATTTTCTTCGTCCATTTGTGAGTTTTCCTTGTGAAATGATAATATTTGACCATTTGGTCAAAGTGATCAACACCTTTCCTGTTTGTGTTGTAGTCACAGATTGCGTTTGGCTTGTTGACAGTGACCTGTCGCACTGAAGATGTTCCATCGGGTTTCCTCACTTTTCCTTCGTTGCACTCGTTGAGTATCTTCATTGTGGCAAGTTGTGATGAGTGAAACCACTCGTTTGTCTTTCCACAAAATTATAAAAGTATTTTTCTTCCTTTTGAATAAAGTTATATCTACTGGCATTTTACCCTTTGCTTGGATCTGGAGGGTTTTAGGTGCACCACGTTGCAATCTGATAGTACCTCAGGTGTAAACCCCATCTTCAAGCAGCAAATCACTCATTCGAACCATATTATAATAGTTATCCATATATAAATGGTAACCTTTGTTCTTCAGTGGTTCAATCAAGGCCAATACCATTTCAATCGTCATCTTTCCAATACCTGCATAATCAGTTCATATCTTCTACATGTCATAAACATATTGAAACACCGAATCCCACATAGGGACACCGGGGGCAACTGAGCACCTACAGGAGCCCCAGAACAAGAACTCACCCAGAGGAAGAGGAAGAAAGAATGGGAATGCAGGAGGCAGAGCTGACGTGAAGGCCACAAACAGAAAACCCACAGGAAAAACAAAAAGAGGAGGCTGGCTCGAAGAGCCATAGCGTGACCCCAGAAAGCACAACAAGGGAAGCCAAACCTCACCAAAACACCAACAACACCCCAGCAGGGAAGCAGAAACACAAAGCAATTCACATCCCTCCACGCTCCAATAGAGCAGAGCAAATGGAAACCAGAGATATGTCACTGGAAGTAATCATAGCAAAAGACTGAAGTGAAAAATCTCGCCTAAAATGCGAGCTCACACACCCAGCCAGCACATGTAAACAAGACGCTGTACTGCCCTGGTGACTGGCCATGAAGACTCCCCCAGTAAAGCAAAATGGCCGGCAAAACAACCCATGAAACCGCAGCAACACCAGCCAAAATAGAAATGCGCTCAATGCAAGGGTGCTTAAATCATGCTAGCAAATGTGGGGAAACCAAAGCAGAAGGTAAAGAGAAGAAAAAAAAAAAAAAACCTTCCCCAACTGCAAAAACCCCAGTCCAGATGGCACAAAGGCTCAAGCAGGGGCAAACAGCCCAAGCGCTCCTAGTGGGCTCCTCCCAAAGCCCCAGGAACCCCTGAAAGAGGTTCCGGAGTAGAGCCCTCATCCATGCACACCCTCCCTGAAGAAAAGGCGGAGTCTTGGGGAAAGGCTTCAAAGAAGAGTCCACCGGGTCGACCCAGAAGCATCAGCGGGATAAACAGGCTCAACCACCTTTGTATCCAAATCGGAAGGGGCAGTCCCCGAAGCCACCCAAGTCTCATCCCGAGCTAAATTCACCCTGATTCCAAAACCCACAAACATCCAGAAGCCAGCAGTAGAGGGGGAAGGGGGGGGGGGGGGGACAGGGTGAACCACACCCACAGAGGAAGGAAGCGGGGGCGTGGGCAAAACCTAAGTCGATGTGACTAATGCCTCCCAAATCTAGGTCCCTAAACCAAAGCGGGGCAGCCCCAGGGCTTTTGGCCAACTAACTAGCTGGGGACATTGCAACAACAAACCAAAACAGCAACGCAGCCGCTGTCTGACCCCTAAGGTCTTCTGAAGAACGGGTAAGGTGGAGGATGAGTGGGGAACAAGTCTTGCACAAATCCGGGTCGTAGGTGTCACCGACCCAACAAGGAGCATGACAGACAGAACAGATGATTGTCACCCTGAGACAAGGGCAACAAACAACCTTCAAACTTGCAGAAAGCTAGGGAGGGGGTGACTCAGAAGTCGTATCCATAGCCGCACCGAGTCCCTAGGGGTTTACCAGGCCCTGCAGGAGGAAAAATCCCAATGGGGAAACTGGGCACAGGTGTAGCTAAAGTCAGTTGAACCCCATCTAATACTATGCAAACTGACCCCAAGAAGCCGTGTGTGTGTGCAACCTCGAGGGGCCCAGAGGAGGACTACCAAACACAACCTAGGCAAACATAATCAGAAGCTAGGTAGACCACCTCCAGGAAAATAAAAATAAAAACTTGAAAACCATCGTAAAAATACCACAAACAAACAAACCAGAGAGAAACATGGCCACTGCGTTTATGCAAGCTGCACAAAACAGCCAGCAGCAACAACACTTCCTACCCAGGGCCAGACAGACCCCACGACCCCCGCCGAACCCCAAAGGCGAGGTCAATGACAAGCGACACCGACCTCAACGGGAATGCAATCCCGAACGTCCGAGGTAAGAAAACCCTGAACACGCAAGGGCAGTACCTAACGGGCATTCAGGGAAGCTAACCCTATACGCATGCAGCCCGAGTACTTCTTGGAAGTACTCGGGCTGCATGGCCACCCGCACAATAATTCCTGGCCAGCACAACTGCACAGTGTAAAATCCAGCAAGAGAATGAGGCCAGCGATAATGTCTGCTCTATACAACATCAGTCGACGAACTGCCGGTGTCAGCGCTTGGCCGCCTGGGGGGGGGGGTGCAAAGAGCGGGCGTGCTGGTCGAGTGGATATTTGCTTGTTTGTTGTTTCCTCTTGGGAGGAGTTCTTGGGCTTTGTTCGGTTTTAGGTTGCAATGTTTTACCAGTTGGGGTTTATAATGATCATCATACCTTTCTGAGTGATACCCCCGGTCGATGGCAGACATGACTATACTCTCACAAAGTGGAGTGTTCATAAGATATTGCTCCCTTCACCTCTCTGAGGGAACCAGGTTCTGGCTCGTGGTTCTTGGTAGACAAAGAACTCCAATTAACTGATGCTCTCGACTAATATAATGATATCAGTCTTAACTGCAGGGAGCTGACAGGGCTTCCCCCCAGAAAATGTATATATTGTATATTGTACTTTGTAAGAAAAACGTAAATTTGTGAATAGTGAATTGGCAAATGTTGGGAGTTTATATGCTTCATCATTTCTTGCATTATATTATTATAGAAGTTTTGAATTTTCATCTTACTCTAAACTTTAATGTTAATATAACTAGGCGACTAGTATTATAGTGGTTAGTGCAGTCAGCTCATAACCAAAAGGCCCAGAGTTCAACTACCAAGCAGGACAAGTTAGGCAACTTTTTATTTAGTTTTTATTGTTGCTGCCAGTAAAGCTAAGTTTATTATGCACCCTATACTCATCCCAGGCACAAGATATCTTAATTAGACCTCAGTGCATGTTTGTATTATCTTGGACAATTTATCTGCACACATTTGAATTAATTATAATAATTGGTAGTAGCACGCTTCGTGCACAACTGCTATGAATGACAGCATATTACTGTTATTGGTTGCATCATGAGGAATGTCAGCCGTTGGCTTACAGGGACCTTGCTGAGCTTTTAGCAGGCTTTTTGCCCCCAACAATGGAAAACCATTCAATACATTTACTAATATTACAGAAGTTATATTATTTCAAGTGATACAGTTAATAGCATTTTAGAATTCTAAGCAGTGTTGGTCTAACCTGTTTGTATATACTGTTCGTTCTGCAAGTTGTCCTCTGCTGTTCCATGCAAGACCAACGGAATCAACAGCTCGTAGGATTTCACGAGCAATTTGTACACCCAAGCTTCCATACAGCATTGCCCTAAAAGGCAAAAACATAACAAAAATAAATAAATAAAACTTGCAACACTATACTGATAATTTTCAAAACAATGATTTTGAATGAAACAGAATGATGTATTGAAGAAATCCACAGAATGAAACAAGAAACATACTGCAGTACTAGGCATAACTTACAAAAATCATAGAAACTGTGTGAGGGGTGGGAGAAGAAATGAGTAGTTCTCTCTTTTAAAACTAGGAATGTGTTGGTGAAGTCTGCCAGGGTAATTATAAAAAGCTGCTCACACGTGACAAAAACTGTTCGTGAAAAAACTTTTAGTGCATATATCTGTCTCAAGGAGAACTTATTGAGAAAATGGAATGCCTGTAAAGCACGTTATGAACATACTTGTCTTCACCTGTAAGCATTTCATCCTCTCCAAACTTGCTATGCTAATTAATAATAGAGTATGGATATCATAAAAAAAATTAAAATGTAATATTTAATTAGTAGCTTGCCAGTGCAATAATTTAGTTTATTATTACCAGTTGTGCAAGCACTATTTATATATACTTCATCGACAAACAGCCTCACAATGTTTTCCTGGCACGAATTCTCTCCAATGCATCAATCCAATTTTAAAATAGTTTCATACCCACTTCTAAATCCATCCATTTTTTGGGGGGGTTGGTGCCTCAAACCATTAAAATTAATTAGTTGAGGATGATAATTTTGATAATACTGTATACAATTGCCAATGAAAATTTTGTTTTCTTTAGTAAAAAGTGAATCGAACTGGCTAGAGATAATAATAAGTAATAATTTAGGCAAAGAAATTTGTTTAAATCACTTTGAGCAAAAACTTACATAGGATAATTGCGATGAAAGAGTGGAGGATTGAGCAAGTGTGGTGGAATAACTATCATGTTGGCTTCATGCACATAAGTAACAGAATCTTCGGACAAGGCATCCATCCAATCAGACTCTGGTAGTGGGTCTATAAGTTTCATTTCCATTTGCCGTCCAGCACTTCTGATCGAGTCCTAGAAGACATATGCTTGCTTAAAAGTGGTTAAGTAGCTTACTGGGATAAATGAATGTAATGGTTATACAAGTGAATTCTCTATAGTCAATTATTTATAATGCATACCATATTTGCATATTTCACAAAGATATAGCTATAGCTATCTTTCAGACAAAAACAATCTAGCCAAAATAGGGCAAAATAATTTACATAGATTAAAACATAAAAGATTAAAACAATACTTTCACTTTGAAAATACTGTTTTGTACTCGAATATTATTTCATAACCAATCTCAGATCTAGGAGTTGCATCTGTCCAAGCCCTTGAAAGTAAAAGGAAGGCTTGAATGACTGTGATGCAATTCAAGGATCTTATTCATAAAATTCAAGTTTAATTTGATTAAAACAGCTGTGATAATTGCATATGTTCTATGCGATTACAGAAATCAGGATGAAAAGAGTCAGTTTTGTGCAGTGGCTCTTGGGCAGCTCCCTGTGGCTAGCTGCTGCAGTTAACTCCTCACCTATCCAGTAACACTAAGCTCTTACAAGTCAGATATCAGGCTCTTATCAGTCTGGCTATTGGTGATGAGAGGCCAAAACCTGGCCCCTCCTTACAGAGTGAGAGCAGGTGATCTGTGATCACACTCACCATGACTGCAGCCACCAGAAAGGTAGGGAAAGAGAAGACAGACAGCAGCAAGGTAAGGTAACAACTTGGCAAATAGTTCACCCAGTAGTTGGGTACAGTAGTTCATCCTCTAGTTCTAATTGACCACCATCAGGTGGCAGCACTGGGAGGTCACAGATTAGCCAAAGAGTTCCCTTGATCAATCATGTGATGCAACAGTAATTACATCTCCTCCCAATTTTTTTCAGAGAAAAGCTGGCCTTCCTTTGAACTTTTGTCCTGCAGGGGTTCATTTGTCTCTATAGTGTTCCTATTTTTAGTATTTGCTTCACGAGAACATGTTTATAAGCCTCATTTGTTGTTTGGACTTTGGTCTTGTAGTTCACCTCGAGCTGCTCATGTTTAAAAGTTACCTTCTCTAGGTGCTCGTTGGCATTATCCCTACCCTAACAGGGTTACCTTCCTGGGTGGGTTCGGGTAATTACCTAAGTGTAGTTACAGGATGAGAGCTACGCTCGTGGTGTCCCGTCTTCCCAGCACTCTTTGTCATATAACGCTTTGAAACTACTGACGGTCTTGGCCTCCACCACCTTCTCCCCTAACTTGTTCCAACCGTCTACCACTCTGTTTGCGAAAGTGAATTTTCTTATATTTTTTCGGCATCTGTGTTTAGCTAGTTTATATCTATGACCTCTTGTTCTTAACGTTCCAGGTCTCAAGAAATCTTCCCTATCGATTTTATCAATTCCTGTTACTATTTTGTATGTAGTGATCATATCACCTCTTTTTCTTCTGTCTTCTAGTTTTGGCATATTTAATGCCTCTAACCTCTCCTCGTAGCTCTTGCCCTTCAGTTCTGGGAGCCACTTAGTAGCATGTCTTTGCACCTTTTCCAGTTTGTTGATGTGCTTCTTAAGATATGGGCACCACACAACTGCTGCATATTCTAGCTTTGGCCTAACAAAAGTCGTGAACAATTTCTTTAGTATATCGCCATCCATGTATTTAAAAGCAATTCTGAAGTTAGAAAGCGTGGCATAGGCTCCTCGCACAATATTCTTTATGTGGTCCTCAGGTGATAGTTTTCTATCTAGAACCACCCCTAGATCTCTTTCTTTATCAGAATTCTTTAAAGATTTCTCACATAATATATAGGTTGTGTGTGGTCTATGTTCTCCTATTCCACATTCCATAACATGGCATTTATTAACATTAAATTCCATTTGCCAAGTGGCGCTCCATGTACTTATTTTGTCCAGGTCTTCTTGAAGGGCATGACAATCATCTAAGTTTCTTATCCTTCCTATTATCTTAGCATCATCAGCAAACATGTTCATATAATTCTGTATACCAACTGGTAGATCATTTATGTAGACAATAAACATCACTGGTGCAAGAACTGAACCCTGTGGTACTCCACTTGTGACATTTCTCCAGTCCGATTGTTCATCCCCGAGAGGCCAGCCTCCAGAGGGATGATGCCTTGCTCTGGATCAATGACACCTCTGAGGCCCTTTGGTTGGGGTTATTCAAAGGTATTTTCTCTTACGTAATTACATAAGTGTAATTACCTAAGTGTAGTTACAGGATGAGAGCTACGCTCGTGGTGTCCCGTCTTCTCAGCACTCTTTGTCATATAATGCTTTGAAATTACTGACGGTTTTGGCCTCGACCACCGTCTCACTTAACTTGTTCCAACCATCTACCACTCTGTTTACAAAAGTGAATTTTCGTATATTTCTCCAGCAGTTTTGTTTCGTTAGTTTAAATTTATGACCTCTTGTTCTTGAAGTTCCGGGTCTCAGGAATTCTTCCCTATCATTTTTATCAATTCCTGTTACTATTTTGAACGTAGTGATCGTATCGCCTCTTTTTCTTCTATCTTCTAGTTTTTGCACATTTAATGCCTCTAACCTCTCCTCGTAGCTCTTGTCCTTCAGTTCTGGGAGCCACTTAGTAGCATGTCGTTGCACCTTTTCCAGTTGGTTGATGTGCTTCTTAAGATATGGGCACCATACAACCGCTGCATATTCCAGCTTTGGTCTAATAAAAGTCGTGAACAATTTCTTTAGTATTTCACCATTCATGTATTTAAAAGCAATTCTAAGGTTAGAAAGTGCAGCATAGGCTCCTCGCACAATGTTCTTAATGTGGTCCTCAGGTAACAGTTTTCCATCTAGAACCACCCCTAGATCCCTTTCTTTGTCAGAATTCTTTAAAGATTTCTCACATAATTTATAGGTTGTGTGGGGTCTATGTTCTCCAATACCACATTCCATAACATGGCATTTATTCACATTAAATTACATTTGCCAAGTATTGTTCCATATACTTATTTTGTCCAGATCTTCTTGAAGGGCATGACAATCATCTAGGTTTCTTATCTTCTCTATTATCTTAGCATCATCAGCAAACATGTTCATGTAATTCTGTATTCCCACTGGTAGATCGTTTATGTAGACAATGAACATTACTGGTGCAAGAACTGAACCCTGTGGTACTCCACTCGTGACATTCCTCCAATCCGATACCTTGCCTCTGATTACGGCCCTCATTTTTCTGTCAGTTAAGAAATTTTTCATCCTTGTTAGTAGCTTACCTGTCACCCCTCCAATATGTTCCATTTTCCAGAACAACCTCTTATGTGGAACTCTGTCAAAAGCATTTTTTAGGTCCAGATAGATGCAGTCAACCCAACCATCTCTTTCCTGTAAAATCTCTGTGGCTCGATCATAAAAACTGAGTAAGTTCGTTACACAGGATCTTCCCGATCGAAAACCATACTGTCTGTCTGATATTATATCGTTTTCCTCCAGGTGTTCTACCCATTTAATTTTAATTATTTTTTTCCGAAATTTTGACTATTGCACTTGTCAATGATACAGGTCTATAATTAAGGAGGTCTTCCCTGCTTCCACTTTTGTAGATTGGAACTATGTTAGCCTTTTTCCACACATCAGCTACAACTCCTGTACACAGGGATGCCTGAAAAATCAGTTGAAGTGGAATGCTGAGCTCAAGTGCACATTCTCTCAGAACCCATGGTGGAACTCCATCTGGACCAACTGCTTTGTTCTTACTTAGCTCCTTTAGCATTTTTTCCACTTCATCTCTAGACACCTCTATGTGCTCTATGTTGTTTTCTGGAATTCTTATTGTGTCTGGTTCCCTAAAGATTTCATTTTGTACAAACACACTTTGGAACTTTTCGTTTAGTGTTTCACACATTTCCTTTTCATTTTCCGTGAATCTATTTCCCATTTTCAATCTCTGAATATTATCCTTTACCTGCAATTTGTTGTCTATGAATTTATAGAACAGACCAGGTTCTGTTTTACATTTGTCTGCAATCCCTTTTTCAAAATTTCTTTCTGCCTCTCTCCTCACTGCCGTGTAGTTGTTTCTCGCATCTTTGTATTGTTGGTATGTTTGGGGGTTTGGCCTCTTCCTGTATTGATTCCATTTTTGTGTCTTTTGGTCTCTGGCCCTTTCACAATTTCTATTGAACCAATCCTGTTTTCTAGTTCTGCATCTCTGTTTTGGTATAAAAAAAATTTGTGCCTTTATCATATATTTCACAAAACTTGACATACATCTCATTCACTTCCTTGCCTAGCAACAAGTCTGTCCAATTATACTCACTAAAAAAATTTCTAAGGTCGCCATAATGTCCTCTCCTATAGTCAGGTTTTTCAACTGCTTCAACCTCCTTATTTTCTTCCAGATTATAACGCACTGCATACTTTATTCCCAAAAAGACATGGTCACTTTTACCCAAGGGAGGAAGGTACTGAATGTCAAATATCTCTTCCTCCTTCCTGGTAAATATCAAATCTAGCATGGAGGGAATGTCCCCTTCCCTACGAGGTGGGGCCTCGTAGCCTGGTGGATAGCGCGCAGGACTCGTAATTCTGTGGCGCGGGTTCGATTCCCGCACGAGGCAGAAACAAATGGGCAAAGTTTCTTTCACCCTGAATGCCCCTGTTACCTAGCAGTAAATAGGTACCTGGGAGTTAGTCAGCTGTCACGGGCTGCTTCCTGGGGGTGGAGGCCTGGTCGAGGACCGGGCCGCGGGGACACTAAAGCCCCGAAATCATCTCAAGATAACCAAGATTCCCTCATCCTCGTAGCTTGTTTATCATGTTGATACAAGAATGTTTCCAGGATGAGGTCTACAAATATACAGGTCCAAAAATCTTCTGTTTTAGCTTCATATCAGTCTATGGATTTCAAGTTGAAGTCACCAACTATCAACAGTTGTTATCTATCGTTATCCGCTCTCGCTATGATCTCTCTCATTATTGTTATAAGACCTTCTCGTTTACTATCTAGCTCCTCCTTTGACCATGTGCTGCTTGGCGGTGGACTATATGCATTTATGATCATTA